AGTATTTTCAATCTTAGAATGAAAATTACTTTGCATGATACTTAGGCAACATACGAAAAGAAAAAAAGACACGAGAGAAACATTGCTTTACAAACCTTAAGACTTAATAAAAAAATTAGATATTTTGTGTATGAAAGCATTGTAATGTTTACTGATAAACTGCCCAATTTCGTTAACATTTACTTACTAATTTAAAAGTTATAGCATAAAAACTATAACAAGCACAAAATGGTTACGAGGTCAGTCCCATGGACCAAGCCTGGGTTGAAAGAGTTAATAGAAACTAGAAGTGAAAATAAATGAAGGCAACTTCGTGAGTATACCAAAGATGAATATGAAACTTTAAAGAAACAAAAAGGAACACATCTGAGCATGAGTGCTGCCAAACAAGAAGTAATAGTTCGGTAGAGGCATATAGAGAAAGTCACATGAGTGTGTAATGCTCCTATTGGTGGAGAAGTGATCCATGATGATTTATATGAGAGACATGTTGGTATCATTCGATTCTAATAGGGGGGAGCAGAAGGCTTGTGGCATGTGTAAAGAAACAATTTGCATATAGAGGGCAGCACTGGATGAGAATGGATAATCTTGTGAGTGGAGGGAAGTACCGTATCAGAACAACATTTTCAGTCAAACCACAATATGTTATTGCATTAAAAAAGACAACTAACTACATACCCATTGTGCTGTGTGCTTCCTATGGTCAAAGTGGTTGGTTGTGACACCTGGTGGAGAAACTGTAGGAACCCATGCTAGATGGTGAGTCAAGACTGCTGTCAACAGTGTGCTGACGAAGCTGAAATGTAATTCAAAGTAATTAACAAGTTTAAGTCTTTCTTGTGTATTTTATATGACCCCATCTGTGGAATGATACAAGTGCAACAATGAGATTTCACAAAAACTGGTAAGATTTTGTTAAAGATTATAAGTATCTTGTACACAAAGAATGACATTATTTTAATTAAGTATTTCTATTGTAGTTATTTGCACTCAAACTCTTAACAGTTTGTGTGCCAGGTGATTTTCATTTTAAGTATAAAAATACTTTTCTTCATCTTACAGTTTGAGTTTTATTTGCATAATCTCTAGAACTTCCTAAATAAATATCAAAAGTTTTTTAAGGTAAATGTTTATATTTTATTTTTCATTTTCTCTACCATATCACTAACTGTACATATTATCATCAACATACAGTGCAATGAAGTGTTTAAAATTAAGAAATAGAAAAAATGTACATACCTTTTAATTGTTGCATAGAATATCTCAAAAGATCTTCCTTTGGTTAGATTTGTAATTTCAGGTTTTTTTTTCCTTTTCACATATAGTTAATTATTAATGTTTTATTTTCCTTTCCTACCATTTACCTTTTATTACTCATCTCAGCATAAGTCAACGGTGCCTTCAGTGGCATAATACAGTAATTAGCAGTAATTAGCACGAGCCTTCAGCAAAATTATCTTACACTTGCACTAGATTTTAAGCCTTGAGAACTGACATAAAGTATGATGTGTATTTATAAAATGTTTAAACCTTTCAATTATGCATTTTAAAACATATATGATACATAATTAACTGAGATGTAAAAGTAAGATTTAAATACAATTTAACTGTTTCTCTAACTATAATATATTTAGCTAGTAAAAAACTGTAAGTGCCATCGGGGATTAAGCAGCCAACAATACTACAGGCAGTTACACCTACCAGATGATGAAAACTGTTGGTGGATTATAGTGTCAAATGAACTCTTCCTAACGACTATATTTATGTGTAGCTAGCAACTACAAGTGTGTTATAAAGCTCAAGCAAATATATAGAAGATGGAAGTAGCACCCCTCAGGGGTTAACAAAATTTGTTACTTGTTTCTACTCATTTAGCCAGAGAACTCTGAAACTCATGTGTCAATAGTGCAAGCAAACATATTTAATTGTCTAGAAATACATCAACCAGACTGGCATTATCTGAGTCAAGATAGATAGTGTGAAAATTGAATTTTTTCGTAGCTGGTGGGTCATGTGACAACACAAAACTAATGTTTAAGTATTTTTTAAAGGTTTCTTTTGAAATAAAGGAATTAAAACCTAGGTAACATAAAACTTCAAATCACAACATAAATTATAATGTTAATTTCATTCACATACATTGATAGCAAAGTTGTTTAATTAAAGTTTGAATGTAACTCAGTAACTTGCACAGAAAAGTGTTTAAAGGGGTAGCCATTGCAAAAGAGTTAAAGAGCATAGCTTTTAAGTTTGAGGTCCTATGGATTTTAGTAAACATTTTTAGCTTTATACAGAGAGGATCTACATATTTGTTTGGAATCAGTGGAATTCATTGAATATCAATATAAAACAAATTTCACACCTTTGCACCACTTTCAGGAAAATAATGGAATATTTACATTAACAGAATCAATAATACTAAAGCAAACTTCTTTTTCTCTGAGGGTGTAAATGATCTTTCCATTCAGTATAACACCAATGAATAATCAAACATTATTTAGAAAACTTTCTAAATAATATTTAAGAATATGGAAATAACAGCAGAATGATCTACTAATTTAGTTAACCTATATTGCTAATGGTACATTTATCATTAGTTATAATGCATTGGAAAGAGTGTATAAGATTAAGCTTTAAACATTTCCAAAACAAATTTAAAGAACTCTCGCAAAATATACAAGTAAAAAACCTTTTCAACAATTTTATAATTATAGTTCACAAACATACATACAAGTTTGTATACTTGGTATCAAATTCTTCAAGGAGTGCAATGAATTCACTGATGAACCTCGTGCAGTGAAGATGATGATTAACCGAGGGAGACATCATAGATAACCATACTGGAGACATGAGGCGAGGACCCGTGACAAGATCTTGTAAAGATGCTTGAAGCTGCTCTACTCCCTAAGGAAAAACACAAAGCACATTTACTTTTTTTTTTTGTAAAAGAAGATATCAATATTTTTCAAACTCCTATAACACATCTATGCATAAAGAAATTTTAAGCACTGATTTATAAAATAATTTCTAAAGTTGAATAAATTAAATTTTATAAGATTTAAAAGAAAATATATATAAAATGTTTCTGGATATTCTCATGCGCTGATAATAGTGCACTGAATATCAAAATATATATATATATATATATATATA